AAGCTCTTGTGCGAATACAAGAAAATTAAATAAAAAAGCTTAACCGTAGTACCTTGTCTGTCGTTTTTAATGAAACATGCATAAATGAAGGATTTCTGCCTACAATATATATATATATATGCATATATATATATGTGTGCAGAGGCATATATCGAATTTATATGTCGCTGTGCCTCTAATTTTATATGTTTTGTCCTTGTCACGATTTTGTCCTTGTCACGATTTCGTGTTATATTTCTGTGGAAACCCAAGATGCTGCTACCCAGCCCTCTCTTATTTCCTCTGAATATACAGTAAAGCCTGTCCTCCACTATATATATTCATGCATATGTCTTTTATTCTGTTGAAAATTCGGTAAAATGTTTAATATGTGTAGTGCTAATTAACTAAAGCGTGATTGTGATGTTACATATTTTTCCTATAAATTGCCTTCGCTCGTGGACATATTTCCCAATCCCAGATATGACAGGTCGAATAAGAATGTCTGGTCTGTGTGTTTTGGGGTTGACCATAAAATACAGGACGATATTTGTCCTCATTATTGACAAACATTTTAATTGATGTGTTGAATGTTTGTGACTTGAGAATTATCTTATATGCATCAATTTTATTTTAGTATTAATGTATCCAAACTTAATATAAAATTTATCACAACTACTTAAAAAAAAATACATGACTTAATTAAAACAAAATAGCGTCCTTTGTATGACGATAAACTACATCCGCGTCCTGGGTATGACGATGTGCTGCATCCGCGTCCTGGGTGTGATGGTGGACTGCGTCCAACCTCAAGGCCTCTGATAATGTTTTTGAAAAAATAATCTTGCCAACTATACGTTTTTGAAAAAATAATCTTGCCAACTATACGTTTTTGAAAAAATAATGTTGCTAGCTATACGTTTTTGAAAAAATAATCTTGCCAACTATACGTTTTTGAAAAAATAATCTTACCTTTTTGAAAAATAATATACGTTTTGAAAAAAATAAACTATACGTTTTTGTTGTTGCCAGCTATACGTTTTTGAAAAAAAAATATTACCAGCTATAAGTTTTTAAAAAAAAATAATATTACAAGCTATACATTTTTGAGGAAAAAATATTAACAGAAATAGATTTCTGACAAAGTTAAAATATTACCAGGAAAAAAAAAGTTGTTTTCATTAAATGACCCATTGAGGTTGATATGCCGTAAAACAAAACAAACCAAACCTAAAACAAAATATACAGTTAGTTCTATATAATGGTACCATAAATATTCTTTACGACATTATGGCAATACTACTACTACTACTACTACTACTACTAATAATAATAATAATAGGAGAATCGTTAGAAACAAAGAAAATAGTGTTGTACTGCTATGTAATATCTATATGACGATGAATGCTGGTCAATTTCTTCACGGATGAAAAAGGAACTGCACGTGATGTTGTTCTACCGACGAATGCCAAGAACATGGTGGACAGAATATGTGAGCAATGAAGGCGTTTTAATGAAAATGAACGCAACAATGAAATATACGGGGAAAATAGTATTAGCTTGTTCGGAAAATAATGTACGATGGCGTTCCTTCGGAGGATTGGCGGGATGGCGTCACGATTAAGGGACGAGCCTCGCGAAAAGGAGTGGCTCTTGCAGCTTGTCTCACTGGCGATGGTTCGAGGTAATGCTTTCTTCATCATTGCGTCTGGCAGAAGATAGCAAAAAAAAAAAAAAAAAAAAAATAAATAAATAGAAAATAACAAAAAAAAAAACATTTTGTTTATAGTTACTTTGTTCAAACTTTTTTTTTTCAATAAAATCTTATTATCAAATGCGTCATCTCTCCTTGAATTCGGAACGCCACAAATTATGGTAAGGTTGTTTTAAGAGTCGAATGAACGTGGTACATGATTCATCGATTTTAATTATGTTCTAATATATTATTATAATTGATGCATAAAATTTATTACTCAGTCCTAATGATTAAAGCGTGGTCTTTGTTAATTTTATATACTGTCTAGAAGGAACTGATGTTTATATGTCGAATTCGTAACTCGCATCTAAGTCTTTACTCATGTTGGTGAACATAATTTCTGTCTCCTTGAAGTTAATGGTTATTCCTTATTTTCTCTCATTCTTTTACGACTATGTCGAGGAGGACCTGATGTTTCTATCTCCAATTCTATTGTTATGCTCGGCCCGGTGGCTAGGATCAAAGTGTAGTATCTGCGCTTTGTGAGCTGCCGGGTCGGGTGTCTGTCGAACTCTCTGCTTGCAGAGAGGAACCCGGACGAAGCTCCGCCGAAGGGTAGGGTTTCGTTGGGGGAGGTTGACGGAACTGGCCCGCCTCAGCGGGTTTGGATGGTTATTTATTTTTGGCTGGGCCTACGGGCTCAGAGATACCCACATTAAAAAGGCCTTGTGCCACATTCGATCTCCGTGGGTGGATTGATAAATACCATCTCCAATTCGTAACTCGCATCTCGGCTTTTTCTTATGCTGAAGATTCTGACTTTTTAAGGTTGATGTTTATTCCTTTTTTTCTCTCATTCTCCTGCAACACTGTATGGGAGGACCAGATGTTTATATTTCCAGTTCGTAATTTGCATCTCGGTCTTTTTGTTATGTTGATGAACATACTTTCTGTCTTCTCGAAGTTGATCGTTAATATATATTTCTCTCATTTTTATGCAACTCTATCTAGGAGGTCCTAATGTTTATAACTTCCATTCATAACTCGCACCTCGGTCTGTTTCTGTTGTGGTGTCTTCCCTCTAATGAGGCTATTGTCAACTCTTCCACTTACTATAAAGTAGTAGGAAAGTACGTCTCGTGGGAACGGTGATATAAGCTGTTCAACTGTCAAACTCTCCGCTTCGGCGGAGAGGAACCCGGACGAAGCTTTGCCGAAGGGCAAAGTTTCGTCCGGGGAGGTAGACAGGCCCTGAAAGGAAATGGGAATGTTTTTGGCCGAGCCCACGGGCTCGGAGACCCACAATAAACTGGCCTTGTGCCACATACGACCCACGTGGCGGAGATCCGTTAAATATAACGGTGAGCTACACTGTTCAACTGTCAAACTCTCCGCTTTGGCGGCGAGGAACCCGGATGACGCTTTGCCGAAGGGCAAGGTTTCGTCCGGGGAGGTAGACAGGTAACCCACAATAAGTCGGCCTTGTTCCACATACGACCCACGTGATGGTGGTGGGGGGCGTCAAATATAACGGTGATATACACCGTTCATTACTGTCAAACTCTCTGCCTTGAGCAGAGAGGAACCCGGGCGAGGCTTTGCCGAAGGGCAAGGTTTCGTCCGGGGAGGTAGACAGTCCCTGAACCCGTTTATACGGGTTCGAAGAGAATATTTTTGGCCGAACCTAAGGGCTCGGAAAACCCACGCTAAACCGGCCTTGTGCCACATACAACCCACGTGGGAAATCGGACGAGGCTTTGCCGAAGGGCAAAGTTTCGTCCGGGGAGGTAGACAAGCCCTGAAACCGTTTATACGGGTTCAAAGGGAATATTTTCGGTCGAGCCTACGGACTCGGAGAACCCACGCTAAATCGGCCTTGTCCCACATACGACCCACGTGGGCGGGCCGTTAAATATAACGGTGCCATAGACCGTACATAACTGTCAAACTCTCTGCTTCGGCAGAGAGGAACCCGGTCAAGGCTTTGCCCAAAGGCAAAGTTTCGTCAACGGAGGGAAACAGGCCCTGAACCCATTTATGCGGGTTCAAAGGGAATATTTTTAGCCAAACCTACGGGCTCTGAGGATCCACGCTAAACTGGCCTGGTGCTACATACGACCCACGTGGGTGGGGCCGTTAAAATAACGATGATATAGATTGAATGCTGGTCAACCGACACACTCTCAAGTCCTGTAACACACTTCTTTTGTATTTACTGCTCAATACACGATTTATCTGCAACCTCTTGTTATGTTATTTCTTAACCATTATTTGGTCACAACAGTTTCTAATGTTGATGAACATATTTTCTGTCTTCTTGAAGTTGTTGTTTATTCCTTTCTTTTCTCATTCTTCTTCGAAACTGTCAAGGACGTCTTAAAATTTATATCTCCAATTCATAACTCGCATTTCGGTCTTTCTCATATTGATGAACATACATTTTGTCTTCTTGAAGTTGACGTTTATTCCTTTTTTTCTCTTATTCCTCTGCGACTCTCTCTAGGAGGAGCTGATGTTCATATCTCCAATTCGTAACTCGCATCTCGGTCTTTTTCTCTAGATGATGACCATACTTTCTCTTCTCTTACTCTTCATGAATATTCTTCTTTCTCTCATTCTTCTCATTCTAACACTAGGACATCCTGATATTTATGTCTCCAATAAGTCAGTCGCATTTCGGTGTTTTGATGAACCTATTTTCTGTCTTCCAGCATCTGATGTTTATTCCTTTTTTCCCCCGCTTTCTTCTACCATCCTTTCTAGTAGTTGCTGTTTTTCTCTTCTCGAATTCGACTACAACAGTGTCATCCGCGTATATCATACTGTTAAGATTAAGCTCACCTATGACAATCCCTAATAGGTTATCCAATTGTTTAATATAGCGTCGCAATGCTCTCAAACGTGGGTGCTAGCACTCCCTTGTGGGCTCTGTTATATTGAAAGGGAGAACTGGGATTTTTTTTCATTTGGTGGTGGATAGTCATAATTGGAGGGCATTATATATATATATATATATATATATATATATATATATATATATATATATATATATATATATACACATTTTTTTTAAAACAATTTCAAACTTATTCAATATTGCCTACAAAATAAAATTTCTGAATGGCATCTAAAACTGTGAGAAGCTATCTAGTTTTGCTACATTGATTTTCTAACTTCCTATATGACTGAATGTGATTTCAACGCAGTTTCACAGCTTCTTACTAAACAAAGAAGCCGCCTGCAAATTACAACGAAATTTACGATTACTTCTAAGCAGCATGGAGCCTTATTAACTTTAACCAGTAAGCACCAAAATCAACCATCGAATGGTAATCATGCTATTAAATATACTTTTTTTTATAGCAATTTATTCATAGGCATTTATAAGAGGAATGAAAACAATATAAAAAAAAAATATTTTGCACTGATACCTAAGTGTTATCTTTGTATGAAAAATGAATTCATTACGAGATTAGAAATTTAATTTGATAGTGGGTTGTTGACAAAATGGTTTGTGCCCAAAGTGGATGCTGGTTGAAAAATGGCTGGGAAACACTGCTGTAAAGGTTGTATAAATCTGGGGTAAAAACAAATCATCTTTCTATTTTAGTTCTGCTTCTCAATTCATGTTGTATCAATATGCAGGCGGTTTGCTTCCAGCGTTTGTATTTCTCTGTTATTCTGATCGTGAATATTGCATTTCTTGTTCTGGTGGCCTTGACAAAGCCGCGACATGATCGCTTAATTAAAAATTAAGTGATTATCCAGTGAATTATACACTAAAAAGTACCTGTTCACAGTTCAGTGGTGTCTTTGCCCACCATTACACAAATAGCCCATACGGAACGAGTCTTTCTACACTCTGGATACGCTATTATGTAGGTACCTCCACGAAATCGCTAAAAAAAAGAGTATAGCTTGATGAAAAAGACACTAAACTTGCTGAAAACAAAATCTTATCGTCTAAATGCTTATGTTTTTATTAAGAGGAAATACCAAAGCTTTTTTTTAATTATATTTAAAAATTTTTCTTTCTTTTTAGAACATTCTAAATTTTGATTAAAGAAACCTTGTTTTCTCTTTGTATCTTTGTAAATAACATAGTCAATTTTTAGCACGTTTTTTTGGTATGACACACATTAATTTTGAAAATCTTGTAAAAATATAAATAATTGTCGGATGTTAATGAAACTTTCAGGAACTATTCACAGATGATCGAGATTATTATAAATATGTTTTCTTTTATTAAAGTCATGGCAGAAATATTTTTTTATATTTATTATCCCCTATAACTAATTTTATGAAAACGCTAGAAATTCGATTGAGTCTAGTTTAATGATGACAATAGATAAAAGCACAAAGCAATGCAATGCAAATGTTTTTTTTTTAATTAGACCCCTACCTGAAAATCAGCTCTGAATTGTAACATACAAAACTCAATAAAACAAAGATATTTAATTTCAAATGCTTTTATTTGCTTTTAGTTGTTTTTATGAATATGGACAATATTTTCTGAAAGCAAAACAAATTTTCGATGAAAAATGAATTTTTAATACAATTATTTGATATTTCTTAATTATAATAGATTTTTATATTTAATTTTTTAAAATATTATAAAATTAGTCAAAAGCCGCATCAGGTTTCCTAAGTCTCCTTATGAGATAGATATTTTTTAGCGCGTTGTAAATTGTATCATTTTGACTAATCAGAAGATCCGCAATAATTAAGAAATGTAATTTTGTGTTTATAATCAGGCTGTAATTATAACGTACGGAAGATCAACCAGAATACAATTAAGTTGCGTTGTTTGAGTTAAGCATTGTTCTCCGCTGTTAAGGCCTTTATTTTTGTGAAACACGTGTAGAGAAGTTAATTTGATTTTTCAATTTCAACTGAGAAGAGTACCTACAAGTATCAGTATCATCTTATGAAATTTATATGACCTTATTTTTATATTAATCTCAGTTATGACATTTTTCCATAAATGGAATATCAAAATTAAGAATAAAATGAATGGAAATACAAATAACACAGTAAAATGTAATAAATTTACGTAAAATTATAGTATTTTATGTACACTTCTGATAAAATTTCATAAGAAAAGTACCTACAAATCAATTAGATACCTTTCTTATGAAATATGAAATTTAATATCACTCTTAACTGTCTTATTTTTATTTCTTTATAATATATTTTCCACAAGGCATCGTAAATGTAAAGGTGAAATCTAAGTATAAAAAAAAAAGAAAACTTAGAGCGCTGAAAGTTTTCCTTAAAAATAACGAGGTAAATAATTTGTTCACTTAAATGTAAATTATTTCACTTTTCTCCTTCCGTAGAACAAATTAACCTCACGGAATCCGTCAATATATCATTTATCACCTTGGCGAAAGTTTATGACCTGCTTTGTTTTATTTTCAAATTACATCTTTTCGGCGTAGAAGCTAAATTAAGCTCGGTTCAAAATATTTTAAATAAATGTAGTGATAATAGGAAGGAAACTATTCTCCCACCTGATCGCAAACGGCAGCGTATATGTTCCGTGTGCAAGGTTTATCTTTTTGACTGGAAAAAGAAACATGGCTGCCCCCAGCAAGCTTGTATTGCGAATGGTCACGTATCCTCACGCGGAAAGTCTTGTAAAGCCACGGAAAGTGGATTCACGCATGTAAATGAAGGAAGGCAGAAAAGGAGATAAAAAACCCCGCTGAACGCCGGCATCTGGGCAGTTAGAAAAATGGAGTCTCTTTTGGAACGTGGAAGGAGAATCATGTAAAGGAGAAAGCAGAGGCGCAGAAGAAGATTATTGAGAAAATTGAAGGAGTTTATCAGTCGTTGCGGTTTTACACCAGGCGTATCAAGAAAATATTTTGTTTTGTTCAGGAAGTTTCGTCAAACGTCGCGGATTGCAACAACAACATACAATAAACATTATAATTTCTGATTTTCTTAAAATAAGTTTTGAAAAAATGATAATTGATATTTAAAAGAATTTCAAAGTGAGATTTCCAGGTTTTTTACAAAATGGAAAAAAAGGTCAATTTTGTTGACGAAAAAAAAAAAATTCACGAAAATTTCAGACGTGCTAGAAACGATTAAAAATGTAAAAAAATACTCCCAAAATACTTTGATCTTTCTTCTTAATAATAAACATTTAGACGATAAAATTTTGTTTTCGTTAAGTTTGGCGTCTTTTTCATCATGCTATGCTCTCTTTTTTTTAGCGATCTCGTGGAGGTACCTACTATTACGCCTATGCTATTTAGAATGTTTAGAAGGAAAAATTGTTGTTTAATTGTTACTATGGTTGTAAATTCATTTATTCCTTTTTCTAAGACTTTTCTTTTCAACTTTCTTTATTTGAATTTTCGGCCATATTAATTTCTCTGCCAATTTTTCTTCTTTTACCATCTTTGTAAATTTCTTCTCGTTGTCCTTTTATTCTTTTTCTTTAAACTACGCGCCCACCCCAGGGCTGTTGCAAATTACATTTACATATTTCCTTTCTTATGGATCCCCTTCCTTCCTTTCATTAACACGAATCTTCGTCTGTTCGTCTTTCATTCTGTCTATGAATCTAATCTAATTTCCTGTAATTGACCGCTTTCCTTTTTAATTATGTTCCGTTCAAAGATATTTCTTTCTACGTACAGATGATTTTGTTCATTGCCCATCCCTGTTTTCCTGTTGTGTCCTTTTGTTTTTTTTAAACCTATACTATTGCTTCTTTCTTTTTTTATTCTATTCCTGTCTTTCTTTCAGGATTATTCCTATTCTTTCTTTCTTTCTTATTCCTATTCTTTCTATCTTTTTCTCTCTCTTTCTTTCGGCCTTAACTGTTTTCTTTCTTTCTTTCTTTCTTTCTTATTCCCATTCTTTCTATCTTTATCTCTCTCTTTCTTTCCGCCTTAACTGCTTTCTTTCTTTTTCCTTCTTTCAGTACGTTCTTTCTTTCTTTCTTTCTTTCTTTCTTTCTTTCTTTCTTCTCTTTTATTTCTCTCTTTTCTTTCCGCTTTAACTTCTTTTCTTTCTTCTTTTTCTTTCAGTTTCTTTTCTTTCTTTTCCATTCTTTCTTTTTATTCTTTTTTTCCGCCTTTCTTTCTTTTCTTTTCTTTTTTCTTCCCATTTTTCTATCTTTATCTCTCTTTCTTCCGCTTTCTTTCCAGAACGTCTTTTTTCTTTGTTCCTTCCTTTTCATTTCTTTCTTTCTTTTCTTTCTTTCTTCTTTCTTTCTTTCTTTTCTTTCTTCCTTATTCCCATTCTTTTTATATCTTTCTTTCTTTCTTTCTTTTTCCTTCTTTCATCTCTTCTTTTTTTCCTTTCCTTTTCTTTCTTTCTTTCTTTCTTTTTCTTTTCTTTCTTCCCATTATTTCTATCTTTTATCTCTCTTTCTTTCCGCCTTTCTTTCTTTCTTTTCCTTCTTTCAGTGCTTTTCTTTCTTTCTTTCTTTCTTTCTTTCATTTTTCTTTCTTTTCTTCCTTCCCATTATTTCTATCTTTATCTTCTTTCTTTTTAACTTCTTTCTTTCTTTCTTTTCTTTTCTTTCTTTCTTTCTTTCTTTCTTTCTTTCTTCCCATTCCCATTCTTTTTCTCTCTTTTCTTTTTCTTTCCGCCTTAAACGTCATTTCTTTTCTTTTTCCTTCTTTTTGTTTTCTTTTTTTTCTTTCTTTTTTTCTTCTTTCTTTTTCTTCTTTATCTTCCTTTCTTTCCCATTCTTTCTTTTTTCTTTTTTTTCTTTCTTTTTTCTTTCTTTCTTTTCCCTTTTTCTTTCTTTTCTCTCTCTTTCTTTTTCCCATTATTAACTTTATCTCTCTCTTTCAGAACGTCATTTCTTTCTTTTCTTTCTTTCTTCTTTTCCTTTATTTTTCTTTCTTTTTCTTTCTTTTTTTCTTTTTTCTTTCTTTTTTCTTTTCTTTTTTCTTTATTTTCTTTTTTCCTTATTCCCATTCTTTGTTTCCCTTCCTTTCTATCTTTCTCTTTCTTTTTTCTTTCTTTCTTATTCCCATTCTTTTTATATCTCTCTTTTCTTTCTTTTCTTTCTTTCTTTTTCTTTCTTGTATGTTTCTTTTCTTTTTTCTTATTTTCCCATTCTTTTCTATCTTTTCTCTTTCTTTCCGCTTTAACTGCTTTCTTTCTTTCTTTCTTTCTTTCTTTCTTTCTTTCTTTCTTTCTTTCTTTCTTTCTTTCTTCCTATTCCCATTAATTTTATCTTTCTTTTCAAACATCATTTCTTTCTTTGTTTCTTCTTCCTTTTTTTTTCTTTCTTCTTCTATCTTTATCTCTCTCTTTTTTTCCGCCTTAACTGCTTTCTTTCTTTCTTTCTTCCCATTCTTTCTATCTTTATCTCTCTCTTTCTTTCCGCCTTAACTGCTTTCTTTCAGAACGTCATTTCTTTCTTTGTTCCCTTCCTTTTCATTTCTTTCTTTCTTTCTTTCTTTCTTTCTTTCTTTCTTATTCCCATTCTTTTTATATCTCTCTCTTTCTTTCCGCCTTAACTGCTTTCTTTCTTTTTCCTTCTTTCAGTACGTTCTTTTCTTTCTTTCTTTCTTTCTTTCTTCCTTATTCCCATTCTTTCTATCTTTATCTCTCTCTTTCTTTCCGCCTTAACTGCTTTCTTTCAGAACATTCTTTCTTTCTTTTTTTCTTTCTTTCTTTCCGCCTTAACCACTTTCAATCTTTCTCCTTTTCTTTCAGCCCTAACCTCTTTCTTTCAGCCATAACCGTTTCCTTTCTTCAATCGTGACTTCATTTCTTTCTTTTTGTCTTTCTTTCTTATCGGGATAATAATACAGCTCTTCTTTTCGTCTCTTCCTCCTATCAACTCTCTGCTGAACTCAACGCCACTACACGGTGCTCACAACACAAACGTACAGCATCGGAACTATTCAGCTGTTTCCAGGGACGCGGACACCTTTTAATATTTTTTTCTGTAGACAGGGACACAACTCATTTCGTTTTGTCCGAAGACAGAGACAAAATTGAGAAATAAAATATCTGTCCGTGGACAGATACTACACTTTGATAAAAGCCAAAATGCCGAGACCCAATGGCGACCGCGATAAAACCGGCATTTTTTCAGACGCACAATATCGAACATAAGAAACCAAGTCATGCAATCGCCAAAAATTCAGTTACCATAAATAAAATAACATCATCTGCTGAACTAATTTTAAATTGATATGAAGAGAAATGTACGTAAGTTGGAGATTTCTTTAATAATAATAATAAAAAAACAGTGCCTCCTTATTGATATGGCAGTCCCCTGACTGCAATGTATCTTTGAAGATATTCAAAAAAGCTATCAAAATACAAGGACCTTGAAATAGAAATCTCGAAAATGTGGCGCCCATGGGAACATCAACAATCCCTGTTGTAGTTGAAGCCCTAGGACTGGTTGGAAAAAGATTGCAGTAGACTAATTGAAGGGATTCCTGAAGTCCATGCCTCAAGGAGATACAAAAATTGTTCTGACAAGTACAGCCCACACTTTTTACGAAGGGCTTTATCTATGTAACTTTTTTTTGTCAGTGGAAGTATCATGATGCCATTTCTAACCTTAGGTTCCTGGGCGGGACCCGGAAAGTGTTGTAGAGTGAACACAAAGGTTTTTTGTTTTTTTTTCCGTATGAATCCAAAATACGTTCGTCACCAAGTGTTGTATATGGCGAAACGATTTTTTTTCCTTTTTCTTTCTTTAATTTTTTTTTTTTTCGTATGAATTTCGAATTCTGGTCGCCAGTGTGTTGTTATAGAGTGAACAAAAATTTTTCTTCCGTATGAATTACGAATCCCTCGTCGCCAATGTGTTGTAGAGTAGTTTTCACAGTGGAGGCTTGTATTTCGCTAAGTCGGTCCTAAAAGGATCCGACGTACAAAACGTTAGGAACTTGAAAATAATAGTTAATGACGCAGCAATCTAGTTGTGATGATTGATACTTCAATGTCCGACATCGACTGACTCACTCAACTCCACCGAGCCCAACTGGCGACCGCTACTACTACTACTACTTATTATGTGTGGGAGAGTCTATTAATAATAGAATAGGTACGTTCGGGTATAACAGAAAGAAATGTGTAAACGCCAGAAATCAAAGAAAATAATAATAATAATAATAATAATAATAATAATAGTGTAGCGAGTACAGGGACTGAATTGCCAACAGGAGATGATCGCTTACCCAGAGGAAACTGATTGCAAATATCTGCCATGCAGGAGTTGAATAGCATTCTTGGGCGACAGATATAAGAGAACTGGTTACAGAAGCATACATGTAAAGGTTAAGGCTTCTTCTGATGTCCAATTTGAGTGCCCGTAATGTTATTACTAGGGTTCATTCCTCGGATCTATCTGTGATAAGGTATAGTGGTGGTGTGGTTGAGTGGACAAAGGAGAAATAAAAAGATCTGAATACTGATGTTTCAGATAGGTACTTTGTACCGAAAGCCAACTGTAAAAAGTGCGTTCCCGCCAAGGAAACGAGTAGGTAGAAGCCTTATCAATACTGGAGTGTGTGTAGCAAGTTTATGCAAGTATTTGGACTTTTATCTGATACACGCCTCTCGTAAATGGCGACCCCCCCAAAAAAAAAGACGAATACGGGAAGTACGTTCTGAAAGAGAAATCTAAATCGTGAGTGGCTATCAGACTTCATGGAAAGTTTGAGAGGGACACTAAGGTCATTAAATCAAAAGATGCGTGGGGTTGATTTGTTAAAGGCGACTTAAAATGTAAAAGTAAACCTGAATGGTATCCACCCAAGACCAAGCCCTCAATACTAATTCTGTCCATAAAAACATCAGCCATAAAGTGGACTCGAACAAGTGTAGGCTGTGTGGCAAGGAAGTGGAAAATTACACCAACATCATTAGCGCTTGGGGAACGTCTGCACAGAAAGAATACAAGCGCTGTAATGATAAAGTGGCCTCTCATCTCTTATTGGTGCCTATGTAAGTAGGGACTTGATATCGACGAAGAATGATACCACCACAAGCAACAAATGGTGATTTAAAAAACATCAATTTAAGATCTTGTGGTATTCCAACGTCTAAACTGACCGCGTCCTTCCGGTCACAAACCAGACGTCTAAAACCAAAAAAAAAAAAACCCCCAAAAAAAACAACAACAAACAAACAAATAAATACCTGCTTATCGATGGGGAGCTGTCCCCGGTGTTGCATATTATCAAGGTCAAAGAAATTGACAAGCTGAAGAGATGGTATTTATCAATCCACCCACGGGGATCGAATGTGGCACAAGACCTTTTTAATGTGGGTATCTCTGAGCCCGTAGGCCCAGCCAAAAATAAATAACCATCCAAACCCGCCGAGGCGGGTCAGTTCTGTCAACCTCCCCCCAACGAAACCCCACCCTTCGGCGGAAACTTCGTCCGTTCCTCTCTGCAAGCAGAGAGTTCGACAGACACCCGAACCGGTAGCTCACAAAGCGCAGATACTACACTTTGATCCTAGCCACTGGGCCAGAGCGGGTATTCTTTTTAGAGACAAGCTGAAGAGATACATCGACCTCAGGATAGAAGTTGGTAAAATGTGGAGCGTTCAGTTTGTATTGTTTTAATTATCATTACGGAGTTGGTGGGGGGGGGGGTTGTACCTTTGAAATGCAACCAGGAAATTGTAATTAACCTAGTGTCCCATCTTTTCGTATATATCTGAGTTGCACCTTTCGCAGATTTCTGCAGTGTGAAAAGGACGGTTTATTAAATGACACCGCTTTTCTAAATACTTTCATTCTTCGGCAATGTTTATTGCGTTAAAAAGCGATGATTAGAGTTATACTAAAACCTAAAGAGATGAAATTGAATTTATACATTTTCTTTGTTCTTGAGAATTGAAAACAAAAAATAATAGACACTATTTATTTATTATATTACTTATTGAAATGATTAGCAAATATCGGTTAATTGTTACTTAATTTAAACTTTATACACTTATCAGACTGGTTATTATGCTTCGTATATTTTTACGCTAGCCTCACTCAATACTACTACTACTACTACTACTACTACTACTACTACTAATAATAATAATAATGATGACCGCCCCCAAGTGTTTTGTTGTCTATCACAATAAACCAATATAGAAGGCCATGAAGTCATTATTCCCTTGGATATTATAATGCATACTGGTTGATATATAAAACTTAATAGACCAGATAAAAAAAATAAAGTAAAATAAAGAAAGAAAGAAATAAGGAAAGAGAGAAAGAAAAAAGAGAAAGAAAGAAAAAAAAAGCAAGAGAGAAAGACATAAATAAATAAAGAAAAAAAGAAAGAAAGAAAGAGAAAGAAAGGCAGAAAGGAAGAACAAAAGGAAGAAAGAAAGAAACAAAAAGAAATAAATAAAGTAAGAAAGAAAGAAAAAGAAAAAACAGAAAGAAAGAAAGAAAGAAAGAAAGAAAGAAAAAGAGAAAGAAAGAAAGAAAGAAAGAAGTGACACCGGATAAAATATATATAAGGAATGTGACAAAACACGTAAATGTAAAGATTTTGAAGTCGAAATCGAAAAACGTACTTAATAAAAAATACAGTTTTCTCTATAATAGGAAAGGTAAAATGATTCGTGATAGCCTTTGTGCAAAAGACATTCAGAATTTGTTCAAAGAGAACACATACATTTACTATCTTTCTCAGTCTAGGTCTTCGGTAATGGCTTGGTAAAAGATTTTACTAAACAGAAACAAGTAGTAGTAGTAGTAGTAGTAGTAATAATAATAATCTAATATCTGCAACTTTTACGAAAAGGAAACTGCAAGAAACTGCTATAAATAACACCCAGAGCCAGTTACAGAGATAGGACCTGTAACAATTTTATGGAACTTTACAATACGGACAGACAGAACAATCAAGGCTAATCGCCCATGTGATCAAATACCGAGAATATGCATTCTAATTGACATGACAGTTCCTGCAGACTGTAATGTATCTTTGAAGATGTTAAAAACTATCAAAATGCAAGGGCCTTGAAATCGAAAATCTCAAAAGTGTTGCACATGAGGACATCAACAATTCCAGTTGTAATTGGAGCCCTCAGATTGGCTGGAAATATTCAAATAGACTCATTGAATGGATTCCTAGTTGTCCATGCCTTAAAGAAATACAAAATATTGTACTCAAAAGTATAGCTCACACCTTACGAAGGACTTTATCTATGTAAAATGTGTGTGAGCTTAGGTTGTCTATTTTTTTTTTTCACTTTACAAAATTCTCAAGGGAAAATGTCGTGATGCTATTTCTAATCTTAGGTCCCTGTTTGGGTTCCAGAATGAAATGTGCATACAACAGAAATCAAAGGGAATAATAATAATAATAATAATAATAATAATAACAAAAACGGTGCCTCATTATTGATATGGCAGTCCCTACTGACTGCAATGTATCTTTGGAGATATTCAAAAAGCTGTCAAAATACAAGGACCTTGAAATAGAAATCTCGAAAATGTGGCATATGGGAACGTCAACAATCCCTGTTGTAGTTGGAGCCCTAGGACTGATTGGAAAAGATTGCCTTAGACTAATTGAAGGGATTCCTGGAAGTCCATACCTCAAGGAGATACAAAAAATTGTTCTGACATGTTCAGCCCACACTTTACGAAGGGCATTATTTATGTAATTTTTTTTGTCAGTGGGAAGTATCATGACGCCATTTCTAACCTTAGGTTCCTGGGCGGGACCCGGAAAGAAATGTGTTAACGCCAGAAATCAAAGAAGATAAAAATAATAATAATAATATGGCGAATGATGACTGAGACTGTACCAAAGGTAATCGGATCAATGGGAAGAAAAGGAATGGACAATTTTACTAACAGTGTCTCAGGGAACATCAGCATACAGGTTGCCCAGAAGATTGTCATCTGTTCATTGGATGATGTGTAAGAAGCACAAAATCGAAACCACTGAGAGATGGTATGAGCACCAACCATGCACAGTTACCCAAAATAACGATGTAACTATCCTCTGGGACATGCCAATTCAAATTGACAGGGAAATAAAAGCCAACAGACCTGATATTATCATAAAGGACAAACAATTCCGGAAGTCTATGCTTATTGACATAGCAGTATAATCTGAGAAGAACATCTCCATAAAAATTATCGTGAAATTGTCTAAATACAAGGACCTGAAGATTGAGATTAACACTATGTGGGGAACGAAGACTGGGACTGTACCAATAGTAATCGGAGCACTGGGCCTCGTGAGGAAAGGAATGGACAATTTTACTAAAAGTGTCCCACGTAACATCAAGATACAGGTTGCCCAGAGGATCACCCTACTAGGAACATCATATATACTAAGAAAAGTGCTATGAATTAAATGACAATTCTCCTATAGCGACTAAGAATCTTAGTTTGGACCCAGCTCTACAGGATACAAAGCAAGAAGCATAACACAGAACAACAACAACACAGCAACAACAACAACAACAACAACGACAACAGCAACAATAATAATAATAATAAATGCAAGTATTTAGGCGTTTAGAAACAACTGTATCGAGATCTTGGCTATATAATTGGTTGGTCCACTTTAACGCTTCAAAAACAAAACTGCTCTCTATTAATCACCACAGAGATCCTTCCATGCCTCCACATTAGAATATCTGACGCTCAACTTCTCGAGAGCACCTCTCTGCGGCTGCTCGGTCTCACGTTGACTGCTGACCTGAGATGGAACAAATATATTGAGTCAATAGCTTCGTCCACCGCAAGATAAGTTGGCTCCTTGTGCCGCGCCAGGAAATTTTTCACGCCGAAGTCGATCCTTCAAATCTACAAATCAACCATTCACCCTTGCATGTAGTATTGCTGCCATATATGGTCTGGAGCTCCTTCTGTTTGCCTCGGAGTTCTTGATATGCTCCAGAGGCGGATATGCAATATAATTGGCCCTGCTCTGGCATCTTTCTCACAGACGCACCGTCGCCCCCCCTCTGTCTGTTCTACAAATATTTTCATGGAAATTTCTCCAAGGAGCTGCATTAGTTGGTTCAAGCGCCCTTCGAGGCTGGCATCCCACTCTCACCCCTTCACTGTCGAAACTCCTAAATGTAGCCATCTCTTCTACTCCAATAGCTTCATGTCTCGCACCCTCTCTCCAGTCTCCCTCTATAATCTCCAGCTATTCAAATGGTCAACTCCTTCCCCTATCCACTTCATCCTCTCCCTCCTATCTGATCTTGTTCTAAACTAATCTCCTAGCTATTCACATTATGTAAAGAAGACTACCCGAGATGTACTAAAAACGCTAAAATCTCAAGAGAAAGCGAAGAAATAAAGGAATTAAAACAAAGAGTTCAAAGAAATCTCAGTCAGTTCCAACCTTCATCTTAATCTGTTCAAATCTCGGCATAAATTCATCTTCCCACATATCCGTTACTACCTATAACCCCTCTATCTCGAGAATCTCCCGAACCGTGTAGGGTTTGAACATAATTGTAAATAAAATAAATAATACCCTTATTTTCTATAGAAAGATATTCAAATTCTTTTCCTCTGTCATCGATAATATCATGATTTTCTAAGCGCAGCTTAGATGCGGCACCAGGCCGAAAATATTGGGCACTCTATCGTCAACATTATGAATTGCAATTAAATCTCAAGAAAACCACGGCTAGTATCCCCATTTATGTTGTTTTCTTTTCAAAAGCATAGACTGCTTTGACCTACATTTATAAATTTTGTAACTCTGCTTTGCCTTCCAGTGCTGTCTCAGCGTGGTTCGTGCGAGCACATATGTGTATACACGCTGTGTCGCTGGGAATGTGTCGATGTACCAGTCTGATATGTGTTAACTTAGGCTTCGTACGCATTGTGCTGGAATAAAGTAGTAGAATTCTTACCGAAGGTGTGTCTGTGTGTACGTTTCATTTTCAGTATATCTGAACGTCTTGGAACCTAAGTTGACGCGTGGGTATTGTTGTCTGGGGTTGGGAGCCTTGTACAGTTGCAGGAGTGTCACATTTCTGTATAAAGCCATACGTCAACGAATGAATGTTAGGATCCCATTTACGTCAGAAGTTTCCATTAAGGGCTTACTATAAAATATTTAAATTTGCATCATCAAGTTAGGGAATGGGAGGATTTGATGACGTTAAGTTACGCTCAGAAGCCTAAGGAAAACGACTACGTTATTATTCATATCCTTAATTTATATGACAGCAAATGAAATCTGTACATGTACTTAAAACTGTGGTATATACATTAATTTCCCGCCATTAAAATCTTTTTCAAATCTTTTAAAATTACTTACTTTGAATGTAAATTTAGCACTGTTTTCGTCACTGACTATCAGAACTCCAACTACCGATGTCGGGTGTGAGTGTAACACCCATCGCTAAAGATGCAGGTAAATGATTGGGTCCCTGTACTGCTCAGTAAATACCTGACTCCTCATGCTATCATCTACCTTTATAAGAGCCAGATCAAGCCGAAAATGGGGTACTGTTTTCATGTTTGGGCATGAGCTGTCCAGCCTTACTTTCCAGTCTTGGAAGAGTTCAAAGGCGTCTCCAAGTCCTTGTTGGAGAAGAATTATTTTCCATCCTCCTCTATCACAGGTGGGATGTGGCCAGCCTCTCACTGCCCTATCGCTACTTCCATGGAAAGTGCTCGGACGAACTACATTCCTTGGTTCTTCCAGGTCTAACTTCACGGCTAGGACCCGCCATGCCACTTACAGAATAGCAAACAATCCACATTCCATCAGTATCCAGTCAGTGAGAAGTAAGTTTCCCTCAGATATCTTCCCGGGAACCATTGCTCTGTAGAACAGGCTCCCAAGAGAAAGCATTCCCAATCACTGGAATCTTAACCTGTTCAAGTCTAGAGTTAACTATCTTCCCCTCCTATCCATATGAACTACCCATTAACGTAACCCTCTATCACGCGTGGCCCCCGGGCCTTGTACAGGGTGAACCTTACTGTAAAAAAAAAAATATATTGATCTGCTAAATTTACAGTGAGCAGAGTATTGTATTATTATTCGGTCGAGCTAGCGCGAAAATTCAGGAGTCTATCACCCTAACCATCACGGTCCTGCGTCAAGGTTGGAAGGTCATTAGAGTTCCATACTGTGTCATAACATTGTTGGTTAATGTTGGTGTTTACTGGGCGACTGATACTTTTTGCGCCATGGCTAGGTGTCCAGAGCAGTAGATCGCACGCGAGCTATTGCTTTGCTCGCAAACAGTGTCCTGCAAAGCGCATTCTGCATTCACGTATTATGGTAGAAATATAAGGGATTAGTCCATACAGCTGTGATTTAGATGGATGTCTCCAAGAGAGACTAAATACAGCTCTCAGCACACGAGTGTAGGTTCCGCCAAGGTTAGACTCAATGGATTTACTTAATATCGAAGCAGTAGCACCATACATTAAAACCACCTCTACAGAGGCGCAAAAGAAGCTCCGTTTGAGGTTGTCTGGTAGAACAGATTTCCAGATTACATCCATTTTATTCAAGCGGCCTATATATATATATATATATATATATATATATATATAAATACAAAAGGAAAACCTTTCTTTACCAATGTGTCCTAACATAGCTGGTCTATGTAGGTGGTTATGATGACCAACCCGTCTTGCGCCATGGTTATTAGATCAGGAATGTTGGAAGGTCATTATAGTTCCATACTGTGTCATAACATTGTTGGTCAATGTAGGTGTTTGCTGGGCTACCGGCCCTTCTTGCGCCATGGCCAGTTGTCCTGAGCAGTAGATCGCACGCGAATCTTTGTTTTGCTCAATCAGGGATTGGTCCATAAAGCTGTGAATTAGTTGAATGTTGCCTGCAGGAGATGTTAAGAAAATAGTGTCCTGGTGTGGGTCCCTTCAAGCTTAGATTCTAGGGTTTTAATTAAGCAGTGGCACCAGCCATTTATACCGCCTCTACAGTGACTCAAAAAGAATCTCCGCTTGAGGTTGCCTGGTCGATCAGATTTCCAGATTATAGATATAGGAAATTCTGTCGTCCAGGTTTTTCTTTTTATATTAAAAATCTGAATGTCCAATTTCCATACAATAAGAAAATAATCAAAATTTCTCTACTGAGGAACAATAAAAGTATCCCATACAGACCATATGCGTTGTGCTATTTATTACTCTAACAAAACCGTTCTCCTGTTGAAAAAACGGCTGATTTAACATTCAATAAGAAAAAAAGATTAATTTCGACTTCTCTGTATATCAGCCGTTGAGATGAACGCAGTAACACCACCAGTACCGCCCACTATAGGGCAACGACTGTATTCGCGCAAACAACAGTTCGCGCCATATATGATGTTACAATGTCAAAATTGTACCGTACCAGTCTTATATGACTCACTATAAAAAGCGTAGCGGGCGAGTATATGGGTTATCACTATATTACACACTGACCATGCTTCACATTTTAAGATGGTGCTTTGACAACAGCAATTATAACGTGCCCACTGGACTAGATTTCTCGATTATATTTAGAGCGAAGTAATCATTGTAGCACCTAGTGTCTGCGGCCAATACCAAAATTCTGCAGATATTTTATTGACAACTTTTAAATCGGGATATGGAGGTGGCTGAAAGGTTCATTGGAAGCTGACTATGAGGGGATGCTGGAAACTATGAAATATTACTCTTTAGACTCTTCTAATTACATCGACTCTTTCCGGATCAACTGACATCTGACTGTTCAAAGACGACTGTTGAACAAAAAAGTCATTAACAGCAGTTATGACGTAATGACTGTGGTACTAGTTCCCAGCCAAGTGTTTTTTTTAATTTTGGGGAACTGATGATAGTCACATTAGTAGAATAGGGAAGGTGATCAACCAGTTCAAAGTTCACACACGGCAGCCATTGAAACCAAGGACTTGTGTGCTGGAGAATTGTCCTTAGTAAACAAGACCCCTTTCATCAGTTTGCATGGACCTTTTGATCTTGATAGCCTTTCAGAATTACCTCAGCAAGTTGGCATATTACTCTACATTGATGGTGTAGCCCTTTTGAGGTTAGCTAATAAACCCAATGCCTTCCTTGCAGATGAAACGACCTTGGTATTCTTTGGAGAAGGTGAGGAGAGGTGCATGGCTTTTTTTTGTCTTTGGCTCAAAATGATGACCCCCAACACTAGGAAACGTTCAAGGAAACCAGCTCGATTTGACTCAATCTCAGATTTTCCCATGATGTGATCAGCCTGGTACGCTTTTGATCAGGTGTCAGAAGACGTGTCACCCACCTAGTAGAGTCCTTCGCCATGCAAAGTTCATTGTGCAGAATATTCTCCACTCTCTCACGGAATATGCTAATAACATTGGGTATTTGATTTATAGTCAATCGCCTATCATCGATCACCATGCTGAACACGATGTTCTCCCCGGTGGTGGCAGTTGCAGGATGAACAGTCATTGGGTCATCTTTAAAACTCTCCGTTCCCCCTCCTAGATCCAGCTGCCCATTGTTATTCTGTTGATAAATCTAGAACGCCATTCCCTAATGTAGCAACCATATCAGCATTAATGTCCTTGGGGCTAAACCCTTTTTTTGCCGGTACTTGATTACACCACGATGATGTCATATTCTGTCCATTTTGAAGAGAAGTCACTACTTGTTATATATATATATATATAATCTGACTCTCCGTATATATTCGACGTATATATATATATAATCGACTCTCAGTTTCATGGTGACAGATCAGCCCGACACCGGCATATGAGATTTGATTATAGTGGTGAAGGTTTCATTACGGGACCAGCCACACTTTTGAAGGACGAATACAGAGACAGCCTGGTGCACCGATGCCTGAGTTCCCAATCTCGACCCTCCGCAGGTTTTGAATTCAGACTTTTCCTTCTCCTAGACCAGTTTGTCAAGGCTATAGAACCCATTCTGTCCTGCTATTTTACCCACATAGCTGGAGGGAGAGAGGAAGGACCCCCTTTCGAAAGCATTAGCACGTATATATATATATATATATATATATATATATATATATATATATATCTATATAGAATTCTCACACCTACTCCATATGTGGCCTCCTTTGTAAATCACTAGCGGGTCTTAATAAATGCCACTTGAGTTTATCGCATAAACTTTCATAACTGAATCAATAAGCTGGCAGAATCCTCATACGTCGAAACCGACGTGAGAGTCCATTATATATATATATATATATATATATATATATATATATATATATATATATATATATATCTATGTTTCTTTCTTGAACAGTCAGATGTCAGTTTACGTGGAAATAAGCAACGCTGTTATTAATAAGAAGAGCTGAAATTAATGCATGCATGATTTCACATCTCTAGTCTTACTCCTTCATTGTCAGACTTTTCAGCACTTCACGTAGATGCAAACTGCAATATTGTAATTTTTTCGTGCATGGAAATCAATAACAACCCTACTCACACTCGAGGTTCTGTCAGTAGTTCAATAGAATTTTTTTTATGTCTGAATTACTAGCATGAGTAATTACTATTTACATTATTTACATACGGACCAAACTTTGTTGCTATTATCATAACGATTCGGCCGTTGTACTCTCCGGCCTTCGTCATGCGTCTGTCACGTCGGATAACCTTCAGTGAATTTCAAACCGAACACTTTATTTAATGAACGGGGATAGATTGTTCTCCTTCTCCTGTCCATGTTTAGAGATTATCTCGTTTTGCTTTTAGTTCTGTTCAGTTCTTGTTCTCTCTGTTTTCGTCGAAGCCGATTTTTTTTTTTTTTTACTAAAAAGGGGATTGGAATAATAACAAGTTATATAAGGAATTTAGTGTGTCTGAAAGTAATGTAAATAATGATAATTCCTCAA